ATATGGAGTCAACTATCTATGGACTGAGACTTCTGAAACTATGTGCCACAATAAACTTTTCTTCCTCTACATTGTTCTTGTTAGCTATATTGTCATAACAATGCAAAAGCTTACTAAAACATTTATTATTTTATATCTTTTAGTTTATTTTATTGATTGTAGAGGAGATTCCTGATTTTGTTTATATTCAAAATATACCCTAGGTTTTGACTTTTTTATTGTTTCTGTGTCTTTATATAAGTATTTCTGCTCTGATATTTCTTATTTCCTCCTCTCTAGTAACTCAAGGCTCAGTATGTTTTGCTTCTACTTCTTTGAGGAATAACATTAGGTCTTTTCTTTGAGATCTTTCCTTCTTTTTGATGTAGTGTTTATTGCTATTAGCTTTCCTCTTGGAATTGCTTTTGCTGAATCCTCTAAGTTGTAGTATGGTATAGAATTTTAGTAGTGTGTCTGTATCATTTTATTTGTCTCATTTTTAATTTCTTTGACCCATTCATTGCTTGGAAGCATTCTGTATAATTTTTGTGTATTTGTAAGTTTTCCAAAATTTATTCTTGAAAAACAGATCCTTGTATAGAAATCAGTAATAAGAGTATAAAAAATAATTTGATATGAAAGAACAATGACCTTCTTTTAAGACTGAAAATTCAATTATGTTTCAAATGTTTAAATTAAAAAAAACTTGAATAGATGATGTATTCTGTGCTTCATTGTCATAAAAGGATTCAACCATTACATTAATAGTTCTGGGCTTTAAGAAAAGTTTCTTCTATGTTACTCAAATAGATTCTAAAAATATAGTTATAATACTTTGAATTCCTTCTAAATTATAACTCATATTTAAAATTGTTAACCCATCTCTCCAAATATGTCTGTATGAAGTCAATGTGTAAGACATTTAGGCTAAAAATATGTGTGTAGTATGATCTTTGTAGCTGCAAGACAATCTTATTTGTAAATGCCCTTTTAAGTCTAAGAAATAGACATGAAATAGAAGAAGTGTTTATTAAGTTAACCAGGACTCCTACACACTGCAAAATAATTTTCCCTCACTCCTCAATTACTAGGCACAAGTATGACTTCAATATATGCTAGCATAGTCTATTATCAGCTGGTCTTTTGTGTTTTATACCAACTACCAATCTGCCTTTTCTCTAAAGAAATCAAAGGGCAAGACTGAAAAAAATTTTAAAAGTCATAAAATGAGATCAGATATCATGACACATTCTCATGATACCTTGTCAGAATATAAATGTTTGGAAATTATATTACCATTCAAGTCTCTTTTATTGTCTTTTAAATTTCTGTATACTTTTGTTTGTCATATTAGGTATTTGCATACATATCACTGGAACATTTCATCTTCTATTCAAGTTTATGCTGATCCAAAGTTCTAATAATTGACATAATTGCCAGATGGAATTTAGTTGCTATATGCTATTATCATTATTTTAAATGTTTTACAATCACACTGTAATGTGTATTCTGCTAATCTAGATATTGAGACACAGCATGATTAAATCATTAGCTTAAGATATGCTATGAGTAAACAATTGGAAAAAGCCAATAATTCTTTAGTAATAAATGTAAAAACAGTCTTCTTATAAAATAGGCAGTTACTTTCTTGTCAATACATTTTTTCATATTTTTCTGGTGCTTATCTTGAATACTAAAATGTGAAGAAATCTCTCAGTATAGTCTTTAATGATTTAATCAAGAAAATCTAATGATTGTTACTTATATTTAAGTTAGTAATTTACTCAAAGTGTTTCACAGAGGAGTCAAGAACATATCAACAAACCATTAGCACTTATCAAAATTCATACATCTCAAAACAAAAACAAACAATAGATGGTCAAACTTCTTGTGAATTAATGACAAACACACATTTACTGATGTTTACCTATTCCTAACAATACCACTGCACTTGACTCCCAGTTGGATAATAGCTTATATTATGCTGAGTAACCTATTATTCCTTTATACTCTAAGTGGAAAAGACAGCTTCTATGACACTTTAGAGGCACATTGGACTCTACCAGAAATAAGAGATCTAGTTCCATTCTTTTTTGCTTACATAGAAGACAAGAGAACAGAGTACAGTATTCTTTGATCGTAGACTACGTATGAACCCCGTGAAAATATATACCAAAAATTCTCATGTGCTTCCTAGCTTAAGGTTCTCAGACCCCTGTTAGAAAATGGTGGCATAGTTGGGTTCCAGATTCAGACTATTCCAGTCAAAATCCAGACTCTCTATGCTAAGCTTTGTAAAGAAGGCCAAGTTTCTTAACTTCTCTGACCCTACTAGTATTCTTCAGCTATTAAATAGGAATAATAATACTAATTTTCTTATGGGATTATTATGAGAAGTGAGTAACATAATAAAGAATGTCCTTATTTTCTCTGTTGCCAATGCATTAAAATATGCCTTTCTATGGTTTTGCTTCCTAGGTAAGTACTATAAATATGTTGCCACAGTTTGTTATTACAAAGGCTGAGGCCGAATGAGAAGTGTGGGGTTCCTTCTTGTCTAAGGAATTACATAAAGCCTGTTTACGAAACCTCCTTGATATACATCATTAAATAATAGACTAAATAAATTTTTATTTTCTTTTATAGATCATCTATATTCTCCTCTTAAAAACATAGGTTGTCTTTGAGTAAGTTAGAGTAGGCTAACGTAAATAAAAGGGAATGGGTGGGCAATACCCTAAAATATCAGACCATTTGAGTACAAAGCTTATGTATATTGTACAGTTACAGGTATTGGAGTCAGTAGCCCTTAATTATATACAGAATTTCCCCACTAGTTAGGATTGATAGGATGACTGAACTCTAAAAGATGCTTTGGAGTATTCATTCATCTTTAATCTATCATAACATGTGGAAAGAAAACAGAAAAACAAATCTGCATAATTCCTTTTTTTTTTTTTTGTAGTACTTGGGATTGAACACAGAGCTGCTGTATCATTGGGCTATATCTCCAGCCCTATTTTATTTTATTTTTGTGACAGTATGTCCCAGTATGTCCTCAAGCATGTGATACTTCTACCTCAGTCTACGGAGGAGCTAAGATTTCAGGCCTGGCTCAAAACTACATGATTCTTCAGATTGTGTATGGTAATAAATAATGGTGATGCAAAACAAATTTGGGGAAATATAACTGCCTTCATTGAAAAAAAAATGAGCTTTGGGATGAATTCTTTGACTTATGAAATAAATGACAAGCATGTTGGACAAAAATGATTTAGTAAAAACTGGTGATTCTACCATCCAGCTGTAAATTAGAAAGAAAAATGCTGCTATATTTGATAACAGATAAATAATGTTGTGGTAGAGCTCAAAGGGTAGTTCAAGTGATTTGTGCAAATTATATTAATAATTGACTCTCTTGCTCTATGTGCAATCTAAGAGAATAAGTGGAGAGTAAACCAGAGCAATAAACCATCACTATTTATTGATTTCCTATCCCAGGAGATGACCCAAGTCAATGGACAGCAGACATACTCTTGATTGGGAAGGCAGACTTTCAATGATCATATGAAAGGGAAGTACTGCTGTGATCGATAAAGGACCAAGCTGTCTTTATCCAGAGGAAGATAAAGTCCAATTTGAGGGTAGGATCCACAGGGAATTCATGCACAGGGTTAATTGACCTGAAGCAAGATTGATCAGTGTGGTAGATGGCCTGGCCACTCCCAGACAATGCACAGAGAGTTCTTGGGAAATATCACTAACTCAGACCTGACATTCAGCTGCTGTACACTAATATGGGTAGAAATAAATCTATGTCAGTTGGCAATTTAGCTGCAGCACTGAGCCCTGCTGCCACTCTGTTACTCGGGTCCAAAGGGTCAGATATGATGAAAGGGGGTCTGCTATATGACCTACCAGCTTGCTCACTCCTCCAATGGCTATCTGTGGCTCTTGATTACACACATATCTCACCAAAATGGGCCTAGATTCTGGAGAATGGAGGTTGAACTTTTCTTTCTGCATGATGTCAATCTAGCCCACTGGATGGTGTTTCCCTATACTTTGGCAAACTCTGAAAACCATGACCTCTACAGTGTATTGATCTCCCACTAAGTGTTTTGGCCATTGCCCTGCACCAGTCCTCAGATCTCTAGCTGCATCATCTCCACACTGGACTAAGAAGGAACAAATAAGTGTTTTTCCTAAGTTAATGTCAGAGAGTGAAAGAGAAGCAGGCCAAAGTGAAGAGGTTATGTAAGTTCATCATTTCTAGTCTCAGTCTAGGACAAATTAAATTAACCATTGTAATTGGAATAACAAAAAACTATGGGAACATTTTTCTCAAATCCCATCCCAAATCCATTTGCAAGCCTAAATAATTTTGGTGAAGGTGATTCTTGATTCATAACTTCATCCTGAACTGAATGTTGTGAACAGAAAGAAGAAGGAAATTAAGCATAGAAGGCACCCAGGCCTATGCAACACACACTCTAATGACTTCCAACATCAATTTTATATAACTACAAGGCTTGTTACCTCGTTTAGAGGCCCAAGTTTAATTTGAGACTAACTGTCACAGCTTGCACAACTCTCAGTAATGAGAGGCAATTTACTCAAGAGCCTTGTTATCCAAGAGCCTTTAAGAGCACATACAACATCAGCAGAGTGGAAGCACTGTATTATTTTAAAAGTTAAAAATGGCACTATCATACTCCCTTCATGTAAAATTTTGTTGATCTATGTTTTCATCAACTCTAACTAGTTAATATAGATTCAGGTCCTAATTCATTAATAAACCATTTGCATGGATCCATTTTAGTTGTGCTTTAGAAATAAATACCACATATTTGTAAATGACTATATGCCAAATGAATAGGACCCTTTGTTCATTGTATCAAGAAAATAACAGCAGGTGATCAGAAAGTGTATCCTTTCACCCAAAAAAGTACCAACTAAATAAATAGCAAATGCAAGGTACAGCTTCAAAAGTGGAAAATGATAATAAAGTGGCACTGTACCTGCTGTAAATCCAGTGTAATTGTCACATAATGGTATTCGATTCCATTCTTGATACTGGGACTCTGCCACCAAGTGTTCTTTCCATCAATAGCATTCGTAATAGGGTGTCTCTCTATTGAGTCAGCAGCAACATGTGAAAGGAAGAGAAAAGAAAATCATATAATGAATCTGTAAGTGTTTCTTTGAAGAAAAAAAGTAAAATTAAGGAAAATAATCCTGTAAAGATCAAACTTTAAAAAAATAAAGTAATCCATATCTTCTACAGAATTTATCCAGTGACACCTTTTCCATATCTCTGTACGATGTAGCAGGAACTGGCCAAGATCTCAGGCTAATCAAGAAGCAGCTATTCAACACTCCAGCCATCAACTACTACAATGGGCAACTCTGAAGATGACTGCAGAAATTAAGAGTCAGGAAATAATATTAAAATCAAATTGATGCATCAGTCATTCAAAAAAGCAAAATCTGTACTTTTTGAGGCAACTCTAGTATACCACCAACTTGATTAACAGAAACATAAAATCCTGAACTGTAGTTGAAACATACATGAACATTTGCTCTTCTGACAAATTCTTTATTTCCAGGACTTGGACGATCCCATATTTATCTGGTTTTAATATAAACTGCTATCACATTTGTCCTATGAGATGTTTTACAACAAGTGTTTAGATTGTCATTTTCTACCACTGTTAAAAAATATAATGAAAGATACCTATGCTTCCTGTGCAGCTTTTTTCTAGCCCCATAAATCACTACTATAGTGAAAGAATCTAGATAATAATGGCAAACAAAGAGAAAAATGCATATGAAACTTCATCCACCCAATAAAACATGGGTCTTTCCTCACCTTATTCCACACAGTTGAGAAGACACCCAATTGTGAGAATCAAAAGGAAGACTGGGAATAGCAGGTGAGATATGGACAGCCATGGCCAATCGTACCATCCTTTGATAAGGCTCTCTTTGTTCTTACAAGCTTTGGACCTCAAAGATAATCATCTCTTCCAAATTAGCTCCACAGATTTCACAGAACAGCTACCCCTGGCCTCCACAATCCTCATTACCCTTTGGATCATAGTCTGAAATCTTTGCTTCTCCTTTTCCAAATAATACAAGCTATGTTTATTTGTTTTTTGTGTTTTTTTCTCTCATCTAAATGGGCCCCATCCACACATGGGTGAGAATGGTCGGAGTGGAGGTTGTTGATGTTCCTGTTTCTAATTTTAAGGCTCTAGTAAAAGTGTCTACATTCCTCACACCTCACTTGGAAGTCAGCACATTTTTCCTCAGAAATGTAAACAAAATGGGAAAGAGCTTCCTTGGTTTTTTTCCATTCATTATGATTTAAGTATACTTGGAGTGTCACTCTTGAGAACTTATATAAAACTAATTATTTGGGAAAATGTTTAAAATTAGTGATCTATGAATAATCCTTCAGATTAAAACCTAATCTTTTTTTTAAAAAAATTGAAAGACTACCTCAAATAATGAACAAATTACACCAATAAAGGGAGCAATCATGGATTCTCAATTTGTCTACATAATGAAGTTATCCAGCCATATATTCTAATGATAATGATATAGTCTAATGATGAAAGAGCACAAAATTTGGCACATGAAGAGCTGTCATACGAAAAACTAGCTATTCCTCCTGGTGCTACCATTTAGTACTTAACTGACCATGGACAAATTGCTTAAAATCTGTGTCATCCCTAAAATAGGGATAACAAAAACTTCACTCACAGCAGTGGTTTCCAGATTCTTAACTTTCAGACAAGAAGTAAAATTTTTTAAAAATGTATGAGAGATATGTGGAGTTGATATAGGAGTTCAAATTTATTTTTTCAATTACTAATAAATCCTGATCTACTAATTATCATTTAATATGCCTTCACTTTTATTTCACAAAATAAAGGACATTTAGAAGCTAACAATAGGGTTTTTTGGGCATTTTTAAAATTTTAATTTGTTATATATGATAGTGGAATGCATTACAATTTATATTACACATATAGAGCACAAGTTATTTTTCATATCTCTGGTTGTACACAAAGTAGAGCTAACAATAGTTTCTAAAAGCCATAAAATCAAAATAAAGGACAACCTGTAATCTCAGGGCTCAAGAGGCTGAAGCTGTAGGACTGCAAGTTCAAAGCCAGTCTCAGCAAAAAACTTAGGTACTAAGAAACTTGCTGAGTCCCTGTCTCCAAATAAAAGCTTAGTGCCCCTGAGTTCAATCCCCAGTACCCCACTCCCAGCTCCAGAAATGAAAAATTCTTTAAAATGTATTCTTTTGTTTTCATGAAACACATGGAATGCTGTGCTCATTTATTTTACATGTCTCTGACCCATGAAAACATTTTATATCCAAATCCTTTACTTATAGGGTTGCTAATGAACTCTATCAATAATCTAAGCTTATTATGCATATAGATAAAATATATTGTGAATCTGTTCAAAATGTATACCTTACTGAATTTTAGAGACAAATTGCAATTAATAAAAAAATGAAAATAATAGAAATAAAGCAAAACTAATAAGTCTTCCATGCAGTATAAATAAGTAAAATAAAATATCTTTTAAAAAATTCATTAAAAACTATTTATTAAATTTGCCATTTTCAAATTTATGAAAATTTTTATTATATGTCAATTTTATTTAGGTAGTCTGCTATAACCATCAGTTAAACACACAAAGGCTATGACTTTGTCTTTCTTATGGTATGATATTCACCTTTCAAATATAGATATTCATATTCCAAATATTGTATGAGATGATAGGACAGGATAACAACATTCCATTTTTATCGATAAAAATTTAATTCCACTAAGCAGCTGGATGGACTTTATTTTGTACCAAATCTTATGTCATTAACAGTCCACTGAGATAAGGCATCCTGTCTCATTAATGAAAAGAAAAATTGCTAAATGTATTTAAAAATTAATGCTAGTTAAATTATGTTTAGCTAAGGAAGATGTCATCTTTATAACAATAAGCAAATATCAGAAGCATAACTAAATATCAAACAAATGCTCCTGGTGGTGTGAGTGGGTGCTGAAATTGGCACACAGAAATCAGAACACCAAATGAAATATTGCTGGCATTGCTTGTGAAGAAAAACAAATATCACAGCAAACATTCCCCAAACATCTTCCTGAATCATCTTTATAGACTGTGGGTTTAATATGTGATAGAAAAACATTCACACAACCACATTACCAAATAGAATTTGTGACTCGTAGGTAATTGCGAGAGAGCCTGTCTAATTGGAAATTTTGATATCTGCCACCTCAGGTCAAATTGATATGAGAATTAGTCATGAAAAGGAGGACAGGGAGATGAATCAACAATTAACCATAATCCCCATTATAAAAATTTAATCATAATTAATTTGCAAATACTGATTAATTGCTGGCAGAGTTCCCTTATTTAAAAGGGGATAGAAACATGTAATATCCTCAACAGGGAAAAACTATACAAGTCAACCAAAGGGCTAAACTGCATCTGAAAACTGGCTGGGGATCCAAGGAGGCAGACCACTCAGACTGCTAATTTTTAATTGGGAAGCACAGTCTAGTAATAGTAAGGAAGTTCAAGTTTCATTTTTTATATGGTATTAAGTGCAAACTTTCCAGATTTATTCTAGAAGTTCACTGAATTTGTGGAATTTTATCCTTTATAGCTCCAGCTTTACTAACATATGTTCCTGTCGTTTATTACTAGATTTTTATTCTTGTGGGGTTCTATTCTTTCTAAATTTCCAGTACTAAAACATGATGTTGAAATGTAGTAAAGCTGGTCATTTATAAACAAAACAATATGAAGAAAATACAGGCTGTGACTAGTTATAAAAGATATGACACAAATAAGTAAAAATGGGGAGGTACAAAGCAAGCCTGTTGTGAATTATGCTATACTAAAACATTGATTCAGTTTTGGCTTTAATTTGAAAACATGGGGTGAAAATGCCTAAATATAGGTATATTCCACTGAGACCCAAGAGACTCTGAATACAGAACTTTGAAGGAAAAAGTGACACAGTAAGTCTTAAACTCATTTTGGCAAGTATATTTCATCTAGTTTCCAAACAAGAGTCTCCATTCAGTTATTTTCCAGTCCAATCTTTGCATTTTTCATCCTGAACATATCAATTTTTTTCTTTGTAGAAATATATATTCATGTATATATAAGGTAAATATATATGTATGTATATATATGGTAAATAAAGGTACTTACCTTAGAAACATATTTATATACATATATATATACACACACATGTGAATTTTAATGTTCTTTACCTTTATAATTGCCCCTCTGCCCATCCTATCCTAAACACAAAGCTATGCATTTCTACCATCCCATCCCTATCATCCATTGCACTACGTCTGTATTTCCAGCCTTTCTCAAATTCTGCACAAAATTATTTGTTCCTGAGCTCATAGATGTTTTTCTCCACAAGAATTTACCCTATTTCCTAATGGAATAAAAACTTATAATCCATCAATTCATTTCTTCTCAAGCCTTTCCTTGGATTTTCTTGAAACTTTATTCTTCCATTTCACTTTCTCTGTAATGTTGCATGAAAATCAATCCAAATATTTGCTACTGCCTTTTTACTCTATATGGAATTCTCACCTTATTCTCATTATAGCTCAATGATGTCTATCTCCTAGGAAGCTAATCTGAATTTTTACTTATTTCTTGAGCAGATAACCCAGACTCACATCTTAAAAAGGAAATAAGATCATCTAGTAAGAATTTCCTCCCACCACTCTTCTATCTGCCACTATCCATCCTTCCTTTTATTCTAACTTGGTCAATTAAAAAGGTATATATCTCCTCATTTAGGCTTTTATACCTGTGCTTAATGATCATCTCTCCTCATCTCTTAAGAGACATCACCTTCAACATCATTTTGTTGACAACTTCCCTCACTTTTCCCTGTCACCTCTAAAACCAGCTCACCTGTTTACTGTCTTTGCAAACCTTTCCAGCACCATATACTCCACTGTAAAACCCTCTATTATCTTTATATCAAGAATACTTGAAAAGACTATTCCTACACTCCCCTTTTGTCCTCCTTATTAATTTATTAACTCTTCAATGTTGTCTTTGCCACTGTGAGTCCACTGACTCTAACAAGATGGCCAGCAGATGCCTGTGTTGTCAAAACCTAGGAAAACCTATGTTATCCACGTTATGCTTTTCTTGCTCAGTATCTTGGAAGCAGTTAACCCTATACATTACTCTTTCTTCCTGAAAATTTCTTCTTAATATACATGATGCCTCATTCTCCAGATTTTCTTCCTTAAAATCTGTTTATCTTCATCCTCTCCTAGATTCCACTTAACCATTTCCTTGAGCCTTTAATGTTTTCCCAGGGGTCTGACATAAGTCTTTTTTTCTTATCGTACCACACCAGAAATAGACAAACATGGGAAGTTGCTGTGACTTACCAGTCTGATCCCATACCATACCAACACAGACTCTAGAAATCAACTAAAGTCCATCATAGCAAAGAAAGATTTCTGATGATTGCCCTCTTTGGTGTCTTAATTTTTTCCAACATTTTGTGGTATATGAGACCATCAGTTTTAATCATAAAAGTAACAATATATTAATAAATATTATCTCAAAATATTTAATGATTTCTACATCTCTAAATTAACTATAATAGAGAGAATTATGTATTCTTCTCTTTAATTCTATCAAAAAGGCACAGTGCCTTCCAATTTACTTTCTGAGATTGAAAAAATGCAAATTGTGAGAGAAACCTTTAGTCATTTGGTAAGCTTAAAAAAATACAGCAATGGAACTACTCTATGTGATACTAAAATGGTAATGATAAATACATTTCATTACACATTTGTCCAAAACCCATAGAACATACCAACAGGAGGGAGCTCTACCTAATGTAAACTCTGAATTCTGGTGATAATGATGTGTCAATGTTATAAACAAAAAATTGCCACATAGAGGTAGATATTTATAATGGAGAAGGCCAGGCATGTATTTGGGGCAGAGGGAATATGGGAATTTTTCTGCATACCTGAGTCTGTTCTAAAAGTAAACACTATAAAAGAAAGTTAAAAGGTACATTTAACAAATTTAAAAATAATATAATGATGAAGCTTTATCCCAAGTTTTTCATCATAACTCACATCAATTGATAATAAATATTTAGTTTATTAGCTTCTCTCCTTTCTATATAAATTGATATAGATAGGTAGATGATATATGTGATTTTCTAATTCATATCTATAAATCAACTTTCAACTCTAAAATTATCTCATACCATTCTTCCCTTTGCCATACAAATTCTTTACTTGTTAAGACACAGTTCTCTGGATACTTCTTGCTCTTTTATACCTCCAAGACTAGTATATGCTTTTCCTTTTCTAATGCTTTTCTCTCATCTAATCTTACTACTTTGTACCTTCTGAGAATATGAGTCACTGTCTCCTGGAAATCTTTCAATGACCTTGGCATCTACATAGAACCTACATGTTCCCAGTTTATGTTTCTCTTTCCGGTTTCCCCTCCAAGTTCTCTAAGTCAAGGACTGCATATCATTAAGCATCATGCTCCAGTATAAGACATAGGTAGAAGTAGCATTTAAAAGTTTGTTGAACAAATACACTAAATTATCTGAGGTGTCAGTGTGGTTCATAGAGGTGACCAAGTGGGCTTTCCATGCACAAACAATCCTGTTTGTGAGACCCTTGGTAATCTGTTTCCAGTCTTTTATATTTGACTCATCTCTATTCTCTCCTCTTTGACACTTTCAGTTCTACTCATTCCTAACTGCTGGTAGCTCCCTGAACAAGTAAAATTTTTTTTTGTCTTATTCTGATTTCTTTTCCTAACCTTGCCTTTTAAATTTTTCTTCCCCTCTCCACTCTTCACCTACTCAGCTCAAACGTGTCTTCTCTGCCAGCATGGTTATCACATCTGGTAAGCCTTCACCTATATCAAGATTGGATTTCTGAGCCTCTTCTCTCTTCTTCAGGGTCCTATACTCTTTCTTCGAGCTTATTACACTACATAGCAGTAGCCATTGTCTTGCCCACTGACTCTCTTGTTGAGGCTAAGACTACTCCTTATTCCCAGTAGAACTTAATCATAGTACCTGACACACCAGCAACCAATGAATAACTAAAGCCTCCATGAAAAATCACATCCTCGGATACCATTCTGGAGCCAGGAAACCCAATGACTGATTTAGTTCTTCAGCTAGAAAATTCTCTCCAGCCTCTTTGCCTGCTACTTTTAAAGAAACCCAAGACTTCAATTTTTGTTGAATGACAGAAGAGGGCCATATACAGGCTCACATTGAAAATAAAAAGATTTTAATAATTCTTAGAATTATAAGCTCTTTTAATTTCATGGAACGTGCTCTTAAAATCTCTCAAAAATATATCTTACTGAGTGAAAACAAATACATGTGAAATACATACGGTATGGATTACTGCTGTTTTGATTGCAGATTCGACACTGGGGGTTCCGCACAGGCTGCCCAGGAACATGCTCTACCAACTTGCAATACATTTCAGGTCCTCTTTCTCCACATGTCGCATTGGTTGTGATGAGGGCATTGGAAGCAAGATTCAGGACAGCAGGGAATAAACCTGAAAAAGATGGACAAATGAAAGCATGTGAGCCAGTTTTGATTTTGATGTATTTTAAAATGCTTAATTAACATGGGATATTTTTCAGAGCAGTAAATTAATCCAAGATGAAATATTTAGTTATAATAATATACCTGACAATAAATACTACATGTTATCAAAGGAAGAGATATTTTTTTTCTTTCTGGGTCTTAAATATGGGAATATGAGGCTATTTAATTTTTAATCTCTAATATTTAATTATAAAGAAGGTCTTGTCACAGACACTTTTAAGAAATACTTTTCATTTGATCAATAAACTATCTTACTGAATCTGAATCTTCCCCTTCAGTTATTTTATATCTAGTATTAAACTATAATCACATGTAGTTTCTGCACAATAATGCACCTATGGTTCTCATGCTCACATTATGCTCCAATTATCACTTGGTGTAAATGGTTGTTACAACTTCTTTATATCCACACTAGAAAAAATAGATAATGATGAAAGATATTGGAAAACTGCCCTTTACTGATTTCTGTGCTACACAATACCTTTCCAAAAATGAATCATCATAATAGTAAATGTTCATATACCTGAAAATATTTCTTAGCTACAATAAAATGTTTGATTTGCATACATACAAACTCAAAAGGCCAACTCATTGTAAGGCTAGAGAGCCTTCCTTCTATCTGAGAACTCAGTGCAGGTCCTTCAGTTTCTATAACTTAATGTCAGTTCTGCTTTGTACATGTCTAGTATTTGCATTTTATAGACCTCTTTTCCATGACAGCACAGTAAAGTGACTCATCAAAAGCCACTCTATAACTGAAAAACTCTTGTTGGAGGAAATCAATTGGGAATTAAGATAATCTGACTCAATTTATGTAAGTAACATACTGATCACTTAGGTTGTCCAAGTTCTATGCATGTGCCAAGTAGGTCTATATCAGTTCAACTTCTAATATTGTCTTTCTTGACTAAATCTATAGCCTGATGTTTTACTGATACCCTTAAAGTTTTAAGCTTTTACATTTTTTTCAGCCTATTCTCAGGACTTGGCACAGAAAAGCCACTCAGTGTGTTTATAAAAGAAATGAATAAATGACTTATGATAACGATCATGATAGTTACTTTATAATACTTATGTATAATAAGTCTATGAGCAATATGAGCTATATTTACTTTTATTTTATCAAATAAGCACAGGGTATTAAGTAAATGGCTCAGGATTACTATTAACAGAGCTGTTCTTTGAGGCTAAGCTTTCTGGCTCTCAAGCCTGTCCTCTTAATCATTACACAGAACGGTATCTATCTTCAATGCAATCTGAAACCTACATAAATCTAGTGCTCATTAAAACTGGTAATCTTGATTGATCTTGGAATTGCACTGAAACAATAAAAGACTGAAAAATAAATCAGTGTTTATAAAATTTGATGAGATGTATATGTATTTTTATTTGATCAATAAAGCTTCCTTTCAACCAGAAGAGCAAAAGCAATGATAGAAGAAATTTTAAAGACAATTTTAATTACTTTGGATCTTTATTGTAATCATTATCCAAATTGTCTAATCAGTAAGTGAATTCATAAGGCCAGGAAGCACTTCAGTTCTTTTCTCAATCACCCTCAGGATCTCCCAAATCTATACCCAAGAAATCTTCCCTCCCTGTCTGCACTTTCCAGGCTCTAAGATCCCTCTGATTTTCCCTTCCAGCACAGCAATCCCTCTCCTTAATCCTCTGGCTTTGTGCTTTTCTCCAGCTAATAATTATTTGAGGTCTCCAGTTCTTCCTGGTTTGCCAGGAGTTCATCACTTCCTGAAATTTTTATTTAATTTCTGTCTCTTTCATTCTTCCTAATGAATTTATCCCTCCCCACAATTTCTATGCTCTCTGACCTCCACACAGTGAGACATGCTACAATGAGATGTGAGGTCAACTAAGATGATCATTGGTCAGAGAAATGTTATCCATTCATAAAACATTATTTTTGTTTGTTTGTTTCATAATAAAGCATAATGTGCTATGCAAAAGGCAAGGTGCTCCGTATCTTAAATGTCACCCAAAGGCCCATATGCTAAGGTGTGGTGCCAGCCTACGACACTACTGGAAGGTGATAGAAGATTTAGGAGGTAAGTCATTCTGGAATGGAGTTAGGTCACTTGGTGTGTGCCCTTGAAGGGGATATTTGAACCTCAGCACTTTCTCTCTCTCTCTTTTTTTTTTCTTCCTGGCTACTAGGAGGTAAGCAACCTTATTCACAGTATGTTCCTGCTGCTATGATATTCTGCCCAACCTCAGGCCCCAAAGCAGCTGGGTCAACCATGGATTAAAACATCAGAAATTGTAAGCCAGAATAAATTTTTGTTCTTTAAGTTTATTTTCTCATATATTTGTCACAGCAATTAAAAGCTAACTAACAGTGCTATATAAAAATTATCTAGTATTTATTTTATTTTTACCTTTTCTACATAGACTAGATTTATTGAAAAAATTTCATAACAATTTTGTGAATTTTGACAGGTTGTAAATTTAAACTGATTTTTATAATTATATAGTCTCCAGGGCACTATTTCTTTATTGTAGACACTTTTTTCTCTAGGTTAGTAAATAATATATGATCAAAAAAATAAGATTTGTGTGTATATCTCTGTCTTCTGTCATTCATCACCATTTTACATTTAACTATATAATTATGCTTTCATCAGATATGTTTGAGAACATATTATGCCAGAGAGTAAAATTTGGAATTATTAAGATGAGCTTATTGTGGGAGTTTATGTTGAGCTAAATATTGAAGATAGAGAAGTCTATCTGGTAGGAAAAAAGGTAGAAAGGAGAAAGCAAATGTACCCTTATATGGGCTTTATGTTAAAAGTTTGTGTGGATGTTGAGTACTTCAATTTGCAGTTGTTCTAACATGTAAGATTATGTAACTTTATAGATATAGAAACAAATAGATTACACATAGAATACACCTAATGGTTCACACACATACCAACACAAACCACAGCCTATATGTCACAGTTACCAATTTGTTTTAGTCACTATTTTTTCCAATTCTTTAAACACTTAATTTATGGTATAGAAAAAATAGGTAATAGGAATGAAGAGATGCATTAAGTCTTATGTTCTAAGGAGGATAAATACTCGTCTTCTCATCTTGGTGATCGTAGAACAAGCTCCAGTCATAAACTCCATATAGACCCTTCAAAGAAAACCAGCTTACCCACATAAAAGCCATCTCCAGCAGCTGGGGACGTCTCTACAACTTCCCCAAGATATAGTCATTTTGACTCTGTGATCTCCTCCTTTACAACTGACAATTCCTGACCTTTCCCATGACTTTGCAGGAATGGATGACTCCCCATAACCTGGTCTGGTGCAGTCCTACAGGGCCTGATTTGAGATGGTCAAAGTACTGTCCCTGGTCCAAGCAGTCATGAGAGCAAACCAAAAGAAAGATACCCACCCAGCAGAAACTATTTTACTTGCATTTTATGTTCAGAAAACATAGAATTGGATTACATCTCAATTTCCCCATATGAATAAATGAATAAAATGAGAGCAAAATGATCCAACTACAAAAGAATTACAGATATTGAAATAACATTGATTCAGAAGCTATTTTATGTTCCTCATATTATTTAATGTCCCAATCATCCCACTGTGTAAATCTTATTAATTCTACTTTATAGAAAGTGTAGATAAGTAATGTGGAGAAAATTCAGCTTGAGAATATGAGTTGAACTCAGCTGTTTAAAAAGCTCAGAAGACTTTTTTTTCAGGACACAATGATGAGCCACAAACCTGGTCTTCTATAAAGCTTAGCAATGTATATATTTAATTAAATAAATAACCTATTCACCACTCCATTGTTCCATTGAGTTTTCTACCCATAAAACTAAAGTTCTTTAAAAAACTTACATTTGGGATTTTCCCCTTCTTTCTGTTGATATTTTTTCTATTATACTTATTGATCACTTGCTCAAAATTAGCCTTTTCACAATTTAGTTGCCTTGCATCGTGGTCAGAGAATAGTTGCTTCATGAAATTTTATCACTATTTTCCTGCTTATTTTAAAAAAAAATCAATAAAGTATATTGGTCAGGGAAAGTCCTCAATTAGTTGAAAATGATCAATTTAACAGTCAGTCAATATCTCAACTTTTGTTGAAGCTTCAGCATGCAATATTATAGACTGCCATCATTTTCATTATATATAAAATCTATTAGGGTGTACCTATTTATTCCCATTCAAAAGCATTAGACCAATATTTATTGCCATATTCAATCTAGGTTACTTGTTAAGATTATGTAAGCATTAGAAGTGTAAATGAACTACAGATAACTGATGAACCTTTACAGAATATTAATGCATTGCAATCAGTTTGAGGTCTTGTAATGTTAATGACCATACAACTATGATTGACATTTTTTAAATACAATCTACACTAAATTTAGTTGGATTTATGTTTATGAAGAACCAACTCTGGAAAAAATAATATTTATTCTCTCTGCTATATATAGTGATTAGAATATGTCCACTATTTATAAAATATTTTGTTCTATTATATATGCATATATAATAGGCACACATATTTCTATTTACATATATGTACATGCATACACGCATATGGTAAATAGAAAATTTAGGAAAATGCCAAACCCAAATTAGGGGAAAACAGAAATTATATTACAACACAGTGAACACTTAGAAAATTCACTAAATTTTTACTGATTTTGCTTGGGTATATTTATAGTCTATTTGGGTGTTCAAATAATATAGTATGTTCATACATGTTGACATGATTTTGATCATCTGCATTGTCAAAATACCATATTCTAGTTTCAAACAGAAGAAGCATTTTTAAATCTATTCATGGAACTTCTATTTATAAAAATTGTGAAGCAGCTCCTATTTGATCAAAATTCCCAAAGATAAAAGCTGCAGATTCTGATATCCCTTCCTTTCCTCTCTCTTTCTCAGGCTCTCTCAGTCTCTTTCTCTCTCTTC